TTGACAGTTGCCTTTTGTATCTATGCTTCTTTTTCTATGTCTGCTTCTGTCTCCTTGAACCCCAGTCGAACCAGGCTCACACTGAGCCTGGTTCTGCTGGAGCTTTCTTCCTAATGAAATCAAGTTTTTCCTCTCCACTGTCGCTATAAGCATGCTTGGTGTGAGGGATTGCCTTCGAGTCAATTTCGATGCAATCAGCTGGTTTTCCTTAGATAGAAAACTTTGAATCAATCTGACTGGATGATCTGGTGAACTGGAAAGTGCCTTGAGATGACACGATGTGAATTGGCGCTATAGAAATAAACTGAATTGAAAATAGCACAGCTGTTGTTATGCCTAAAAAAAAGAAAATTTTAACAGAAATGTGGAATAATGTCTGTAAAAAGCTAAGCCAATATCAGCTAATAAACTCCGGGTTCGATGCTCCCAGACCAGAATCAGTGTGCACGTCTGTTAGACTCTGATTGTCGAGGCGGCAGCGATTGTGAGAAGCTGCTGTGCACCATCAGTGAATAATCAGCCTCCCTGGGAGGAGACTTAAAAGGAAGACGTGGGGTGTGTGTGTGTCTGTGGGGGGGTCCAGCCTAAATGTGTTGGGGGAAGTGGGCAGGGGCGTCTAGAAACCCTGCATTTGGTGAAGCTCCGTGCCTAATAGGGGGCAGAGAAGTTAATTCCAGCGCGCCAAAGCTTTATCTCATTTTCATACATATGAAGCCGAGATCGATTACCGCAAACAAATTGAATGCCTGGGTCCGAGGAGGGCCTGCAGAGAGGGGGGGTGGATGCTGCTATGAATTCCTGAAAGTGTATGAGGATGGCAGAATGCGCCGATATGGATGGAAAAACACAAATCACTGCTTCATACCGATTTCCTCCCTTCTCTGCATATAAATACATACATATACACCCCCAGCTCTGTTATTTAGAGCCATGCATAAAAAGCAATCCCTGACCGGCTGACGGCACCTTCCATTTAAAATATATTGGAGATAGATGCGGGGGTGGGGGGGTCGACTCCCAGGAGTCCTGATGGCTCTCTAAATGATTAGTTTTCAAACTGGCCTTATTTCCTCCCGTCCTTTTCATGTCTGTCCGCACGTGTATCCATGGTGCAGACGTTCAGGATGGCGTTCCAAATCCATCTCCATCTTTCATGGAGTCTAACCGACGCCCGCGTCATCAGCCCTCCTCTGTATTCACTCCAAGGTTGAACATTTAGTTATTTCCCCGTTTTCATCGACAACAAAAGAACCCAAATGTTTCACTGCTTTCATTCTTCATTATCATTCATATCTGGCTGAAGTTTCTTCCTCTTTAGTCTGCGACCGCACAGCTGGGCCTCTATGAAAACAGGCTGTAATTTTAAAGTTTTATCCCTTTGCATGAAATAAATAAAGCAGTCGGCTTTCCGTAGAAAAGAACAATAACAAAACGGTTGTATGTCGCAGTTATTTTTGATTTATGCTCCATATTGAAGCATGGTCTGCTTCCACACTACAATGCAAATCAAGAACTATGTCTGACCTCCCTGATCCTCCTCTGAAGCTAAAGCCGAGCACACACTGTACGACGAAACCGCGGGGTAGCTACGATTAAATAGTTATCTTAAATATATTTTATCCTAATTTTTTTAAAATAAAAACCTGTTTTATGATCCAAAACATCATAGTGCAGCAACAAAAAAAATCTGTAAGGAAGCAAATAGTCCTTCAAACAACTGTAAATAACCAACAGGGGAAGTGAATTCCTATTATCTAGATCAATTAGCGGAAACATGCAACCAAAAGGAAAACCACCAAAGTGTCAGCTGATGTATGCTGACAATCAATCAGCATAACAACAGGAAACCAATAGACTCTAATCATAACATTTCCCAGAGAACAGATGACAAACACGCTCTGGGTAATCAAAGACGAGCCCTCATGCCATCATGAACATGTTGAGCAACACGGGAAAAGCAAAGCGAGACTGTTTTTGTAGAAGAAACCAGCAGACATCAAAGTTAAACAAAGGAAGAGAAAAAATCTCTGCTCTATTTACCCCATAAAAAAAAACCTGCATGTAACCTGCCTCCTCTTAATGTTGCAGCTGTTTACATCATAAACCGTTTGTATTAAAGCTCTAACCTTGAAGGGAAATGTTACTTTAGAGGAGCAGCAGAAAGTGGCCCAGTGTAAAGCTCAGTATTGATTATTAAACTGCGCAAACTTGAATCATGGAAGGTTTTTATTTAAAGGAAAAGTCCCGTCAGCAACGAATAATCAATGGATCGTCATCTATGCCTAAAACTAACACGTTCGCAATAATTTAATGAGTTTAGCGTTAATCGGTAAAAAAAATACCGTTTTTGTCGCGATCACTGAGTCTGGGAGCGGCCATTTTTGCCCAAATATAGTAGCCCCTCCCTCCTGCCATCTTCCAGCAGTGACATTATGGAAGCTCATTGGTAGCATTCCCTTATGACAGAAAAGAAGGCCACGATTCACACCATTTATCATCCGGAGGGGGGACACATTTAATTACAAAACCGAATTCATACAGCTGTCTTAAACACTTCATACATCCAGCAACGCGTCGTCAAAAATTCTGTTATCCCCCAACCTTCAATCCATTCTGGGCGGCATTTATAGTTTCCACATCCCACTGTGTGGATGCACGTGCACGACTGGACGCTCTCCCTGGAAATCTCTTAGCTTATGACCTGATTGCGTGCGATTCAGCCAGCAAGAACCCTGTTTTTGCCAAGATTCGTACGTGACTCCCAGTATGTAGACTCTGTTTACATGCTGCATTCTCTGTGTTGCTAAGTGAGCATAAGGTCAGAAACAGGACTACATAACGCAGTACAACTGCTTCCATATTTGGCAAGCCAGCCAGATATTTATATACTACGTCACAGTGCGGTAAGCCTAGCGCCATTCTCCCCGCTTTACAAGCAAAATCAATGGGAACTACTAGACACATCTGCAATCAACAACAATTATTGAAGATTTCCAGAGGACTTCTGGAAAAAAAAAAAAACGTTTTTTTTCCACCTTTCTGATTCCTGATCCTCCACGGACGGGTTGGTCGTTGGATCGCCAACTTGAAGAGGGAGGATTTGCCATCGAACTTCTGGCCAGAGAAAAAACCCGTAATATGTAGCCAACATTTGGAAGAAGAATGTTTTCAAGATGACTTGGATAATAGCGCGTTGTGACAAACACCAGATACAGCACTGGGACTTGATCAACAGCCGATACCGCACCGTGACGTCACTGCTGGAAGATGTCAGGAGTGTAATTCTACTATATTTGGGCAAAAATGGCCGCTCCCGGACTCATTAATAGCAATGAAAATTCATCATCGTCTCCTGCTTTATACGGAACCGGGTCGCAATGAAAATTATTGTTTTTATTTTTTACTTAATAACCCTAAATTCATTAAATCACGGTGAACATATTAGTTTTAGGTTTAAATAATGATCCATTAATCATTCCTAGCTGACTGAATCTTCCTTTTAACGCTCTATTGAGTTGGTTTTTGGTTTATGAGAAAAAGGGTTGATGCACAAAACGTGCGACGTAGCAAACTTGTCCTCAGATGACTGATCAGCTGTTTCTGCTATCGCCGTCTTCCTATCATACATGGAAACAAATAGCATCACCTTTATTAAAGAAAATTTTCCTGATAGCATCACATTCACTAAAACTGTCCTCCATTACTGGCCTGTGGTCCGTGCAGAACACAGCCTCTACTTCCTGTTTACTACAGCCATGCGTGACGACATGGGATGCCTTTATGGTGCTTTGTTAATTTGTTCGAACTGCATGTAAAAAAATGCTAATATTAAAAGTTTGATGAAAATTCAGATTTCATTTGTATGGAAACACGGCTACTGCGAGCTAACAGCGTCTCATATTTACCCCAAAATGATGGTAAACCATCTAGTGGACTAAAAAGAGAAAAATTAGGCCTTCCAGCAGGAAGGCGTTTTCAGAAAAGATAATTACTCAGACACGGAGACGGCAGTGTGACGGTTTGGGCTGTTTGGATGACACCAAGAATTCTTAATTCCCACATTTTTTTTTGCTCCCCGACAATAAATGAACAAATTCATTGAAAACTGCCATTTCCTTTCAAGTATAAGTGTTTAAAAAAAAAGCTTTAAGAAGAACTAACAGGTTAAGTTGTTTTAAGTTAATGAGCAGTTAAAATGAAATGCTGCAGAAGCTTATTAGATCAAAACACTCACCTTTGGGTTTCTGATCAGCAGCCTGCAGAAGGAGAGAATAGAACAGATCAAAAAGACATTTCTGGAAATCTATATTTGATGCTCTAGCCACTATCCTCCAATACCCACTAGAACCTTCTCGCCTGACTGCAAGTATTGGCGCCGTTTCCAGCTGGTGCACATCTACATGCCAATCAGACAAATGTGGTAGCATCCTCTACCTTACTAGCAAAGAGGTTAATACTGTTCAAACAGAGGAAGCCTCCCCTCCTGCTTCTGCTCATTGATTAAAGAAGTTATGCAGTCATTAAAACTAGAATAGATTAGATACACTGTGAGAGCATCTATATTATAACTCTATTCAACCATTTT